GGTTTAGGGTTTAGGGTTTCGTATTCGGGTTCAGGGTTTAGGTTTAGGGTTTAGAGTTTACGGTTTAAGCCTATCCCTCCAGGTACCTACTATTCAGGGCCCTAGTGGCTCGAGTACCCTCGATAGTAGGTACCTGGAGGGTTAGAGTTACGGCTTGAAGTTTAGGGCAGGGGTTTGGGCTTCGGGTTTCAGTTTGAAGGTTCTTGGTTGCCCACAATAGCCCGGGTCTTATCCAACCCTAAACCCTAAACCCGAAACCCTAAACCCCAGACCCGAAACGTAAACCCTAAACCCTAAACGCTAAACCCTAAACCCTAGACCCTAAACTTAAACCCTAAACCCTAAACCCTAAACCCTAAACCCTAACCATTCAGAGGACGTGAAGGGCCAGCACCCTGCTATGCGGTCGTTGCTTTTGCGCTTGAGGGGGTTGTTGAGTGGTTGGGTAAAGCCCTAAGGGTCCATGAACCGAAATAGTATATCCCTAAGGGTCCATGTACTCATATAGTATATACATTGGCCTTAATGTAGTCCCTATATAGGTACTTTAAGGCCCATGTATATGCTATATGAGTACATGGACCCTTAGGGATATACTTTGGCCTTAAAGTACTCCGTATTATCGAGGTGCTTCGATGCCAGCGTATATACTTTTTGGGCACATGGACCCTCAGGGAAGGTTTTGGAATCCAGTGATTTTGTGTTTAGCGCTGTCTGCATTCAAAGTGAAGGGTTTTGTGGCAAAATGAACCGCTTTGGGTTTAGGCTTTAGGGTTTAGGGTTTAGGGCTCAACCCTAAACCCTAAACCCTAAACCCTAAACCTGGGTTTGGGGGATTCGGGTTCGGAGTCTCGGGTTCTTGCCGGTACCTCATGTGCGACCCTTGCACGCGCTGAACCATGAGCCCTAAAGGGAGCATGTAACTGAAGCTAATAAGCCGGAAACCGGATTAAGGGCAAAGAGTACCGGACTTCCCTATACATTACTCTTAAGGATTGAGGCTATTGGGTTTCCAACTTTTGGGCTTCTTCTACAAACCCAAGCCTCAAACCTGAAGCCTGAATTCGAAGCACTCCGGAGACCGATCTCCCTTAGGCTCCATGTG